AGGAAAGCTGGCCGGGGGGGCCGCTGCTCGGGGACTGGCTGGGCATCGGTCAGCGGGTGGTGAGCAATTGCACTGTGCATCACTTGCTTTGTGTATTATTATTATTATTATCATATTATTATTATTATTATCATTTTATTTCAATTATTAAACTGTTTTTATCTCAACCCACGAGTTTTTCTCACTTGTGCTCTTCCAATTCTCTCCCCCATCCCACCGGGTGGGGGACACTGAGCGAGCGGCTGTGTGGTGCTCAGTTGCTGACTGAGGTTAAACCACGACACTATCACAAGCCCTGTTAGCATGGGTGGCAGAGGTCTGTGGTGTGTGACCCACGAAAAAGGTCATCAGTATTCCTCTCTCCAGTGGAACTTCTGCTTTTTCTATTTGCTTTCTAAATATACAGAGAAGCCTGTGTTAGAGGAATGCTGACAATAGTTTCTCTGCAATCTTTATTTGATCTGTATGTGTATGTGGACTCCTTTGATAAAATCTTCAACTGTATATTCACATTTGTTAGAGCAAGGCCCTTTGCCCATTTAGTGCATGAGTCAGATGGTGTGAATTGAATAACATAGGTTGTGTGCTAAATAAACATCTGTAGGACCACTGCCCTAACTGCTGTGGAGAGTAGAAGTCTGGACCAGACTGTTATGTGTTCATGACAGAGGACAAATTAATTTTGTGTGAGAAACCGTGATTCTGATTTTTACTGATTTTTACATACCTTCAAGTGCAATCTTAATGTTCTTTCAATCTAATTCTTGTATGTGACATAATCTTTATTGTCATTTGTTTTTAGGCTCGTGGCCATTACACATGGTCAGATAGAAGGAGGAGCAGATATCACAATTGGGCCAGTGGAGAACCAAATAAGAACACAGCCTGTGTCTATTTAGATTTGGATGGTTTTTGGAAGACAGCATCTTGCAACGAAACATTTTTATCTCTCTGTAAACAATCCGATGGTAAGTTGTGAATGGGAGAAATGTGATTTGAGAGGCTGGAACTTAAATTAATGGCTTTATTTGAATTTAGCTTTTCCACACATGCAAAGATTGTGATAGGTGGTGTATGCCTTGTGATAAACTATTGCTTTTGTTAAGGAAGAACTCCCAGACCAGTGTGTCTTGAGTGATTTCCAGACATTTCATTTCACAGGCCACTCAATACATGGACATCATAAAGACAACTGCAATATTTCATGCCACATGCAAGAGTTCTTTTCTGCATCCTTGTTTGTCAAGAACTGCAGAATTGATCAACTTTAGTCTAACTATAAATATATTAATGATATATTTTTACATTTAAAAGTATCTTTTGTAATGTTGGGAGATAAGAAACTTCTGTCAGCGTAGCAGCCGAATGGATTAATTTATATTTGTTAGAAGTGTAAGATCCTGGGAAGCTTCTGCTGAGATACTTTAGAGCTCAAATGTTGCACCTAATTTTCAAACACATTTTAAATTATATATGAAATTTATGATCTCTGCACCATACTTCACAGCAAATTTTATATTCATTTAAGATCTGCCTTGGCTTTAATCAGGCGATGCAATAGGCTACTCAGTCTACTTTTACATAGTTTAGGATGTCTGTACAAGGGCAGGTACATACAGCTTCTCTGACCAACCTTGCTACAAACTGGCTGGACGCAAGCCACTGGCTTGTGGTGGTGGTGTCAAGATCCTTTATGTATACTGACTCATTCCTTACTCTGTTTCACAAGTTTTAAGTAAAAATTGCCTTGCTGAAGACAATTGCAGTTAGACTGTGTAAGCCTTCTTTAGCAGATTGGAGAACCAGCTCCAACCAGTATACTTTACTACTAGTTACCATGTTTAGTTCAATCTTTTATCATTAGTTAAGTCTATGGGATATTCCTTTTCCTTGAATCACTGTCAAATTGGTAGGGCTGATGTGTGATGGAGGAGTACATGTTTCCCTTGGCTTTTAAGACCCCACTGAAACCTGCATGTCTTCTTAATAGAGTTAATCCCTAGTGAACCACCACAGCTTCCTGGAAAGTGTCCTGAACTGAAGCGTGGTAGATATTGGATTCCCTTCCGTGGTCATTGCTACTATGTTCACACCACTTCCGAGGAAAGCTGGCCTGATGCTTCCATGATGTGTATTCAAATGGGTAAGTGCCTTTTTTTATTAGGATATTTTACAGGTTGTTTGTGTGTTTGTTTTTTTAATCCAGAACCAAGAGATAATACATAGATGTGTGTGTATGTATATAAATTATAAGCTACAACTAATTTAATTATATTATCAAGCTTTTCTACTATATGAAAAAGCTGATCATGAAACATGTCATGATTGTTTACTGAGATAATTTCTAATGGAAAATCTTGCTGAAATTATATGTAATATTTAATTGATATTTTTAGGTGCTTCTCTGGTTTCCATAGAAGATTCAGCTGAAATGAACTTTCTTTTACTTTATTTGTCTCCACTTGCAAGTGACTTCAGAAAGTTTTGGATAGGATTGTTCAAAAATATTGATGGTAATTATTTCACAATGCATACTGAAATGAAAATAAATACTAAATAAACAGAGAGAATACTAGATAACACTAACATAAAAATAACACTAACATACTAAATACTAATACTAATATACTAAATATTAAATAAATATTCAGAGAGAAATCAACTGTTAAATGTTTAATAGCTTTTCTACTAAAATACTTAAAACATAAACCACCAAGAGGTCTACACTTTTTGTATCTTTACTGTAATTAGAGTATATTTCAGTCTGTAAAAGGTTCTAGCTTAGCACTGCAGTAGTTGATTAAAATGTTTCCTGTCACTTTTTTTTACTCAAATTGCTTGACATTTAACCAGTGTTAGTCTTTTAAGAAAAATGTTGTCTTGTAATTAAAAGCTGAGGCAGCCTTAAATTGAAATTTATTTCTAAACAACACAGGGGATAGCAGCTCATATAAGCTGCCTAGCAACATTTCTTAATCTAAATTTCAGGGTTTTTTCATAAACTTTTTGGTGGAACTTTTTATTTTCATCTAAAAATATTTCAGCTTTTTTTTTTTTTTAAACTGCAAATTTGATCCTGTTTTCTATATCCTTGTAATTCTGAAGCCTGTTTTTCATGGCAGACTTCGAGGGTACATCTCCAGAGTGAGTCTAGACTGGGCTGCAGTGAGTGGCCTTGGCCACAGCTGCCCAAGTCCCTGTCTCTCACCACCAGCAATGGCAGGCACCTTGTTGCATAGTGGGCCAGGTTCAGCTGTTCTAACTGAAAACTAACAGTACCCATATCCTGATAAGCTGCCATGAAAGCACACCCTGAGGGAGCAGAGATGGCAATTATTCCTGCCTGATGGGCCTCAGCAGGAGATGAGCAGGGAGTTGTTATTATTAAAGAGAGCTGATTCAATCTGCAAAGATAATTGATTAATCCAGCTCTAATAAAGCAGCTATTTACTGATCTTGGATACACACATAAAGAAAATCTCCTGAGCAACCTGGATCCTTGAACTGCAGAGCATGGCTTGCACAGGTGCTCTGCGTTTCTTAAGGCTCCCAGGCACAGATGAGTCCTGGGCACAGGCTGCAGCTAAAAGTCCTCGGGTAGCCTGGGCATGTCTTCCTTACATCACTGACAGCCACAGCCCTGAAAGCTAATGGAGTTAACTTTGTCTGTGAGCATTTACATTTGGTACACTCCCATCTGAATATCTCTGGCTGTTAAAAGAGTGAGAAATGAGCCCTCTGTGATGCTAATTTAATCAACTAATAAATTCCACATCCAGTGTTGTGCCCGGTAGACTGGAAATGATTCCCCACTTCATTCACTCACTAGGTAATACTTTTAATTTTAGGGGAATGGATATGGACAGACAGAAATGCGGTAGAATTTGTCAACTGGGAAAAAGAAGAGCCTACAGCAATTTTTGATGAACACTGTGTTGAGATGGATGTCTCAAGTGGAACCTGGAGCAACTATTACTGCTCTGTTGAGCAGAATTTTATTTGCAAAATCCCAAAAAGTAAGTACTGAATTTCTGTGCACTGGGTTATTTTAGAAGTAGTGGTTAATATACATCAAGCAAAACTGCTTATGCACTGGGTACGCTTTATGCATTGATGCTGACGCATGTGCATCTGCATCAAAGCCAAGAGTAACTTCTGTTAAGGACAATGAGAAATAATGTTGGAGAAGAACCTGAGTCACTGTTTCCTCCTCTCAGTTTAAAAGCATTGATTTCTTGGCATTTGCTGTACCCTGGGGTAGGGCAGAACATATCACCTGTTGAGAGTTTGGAGAAAATTCATAGTAATTATGGTTAGAGTGCTGCAAGGGGCAGTAGAAGATGAATGGATGACTAAACTAGTGCTGAGAGGAAAAGCAGACACTCTCCTGATAGCTAAGCTGAGGGGCAGAAGTGCAGAGTCACTGAGCTCCTGCAGAAAGAAGGTGGGTGCTTCACTGGTACTGCTGGTAGCAGTGAAGTGTGCTGGGATCTGCTGGATGAACAAGCAGAAAGTGTCAAGTAAGGGTGGGCGGTGGAGCCCAATTCATTTCTCTGCTGACAAAGGCATAGGGAGACATGCCAAGACAACCAAACAGCATAGTACATTTCATTTTTAATGGTTACCTGTGGCCCTGTAGTTTTTTGGATGTCAGCCAATGCAAAACCTGAATGTGTCACAGGCTGGGGTGAGTCCCACTTGTGTGCACAGCAGTGTTGCATAAAGCGTGAAGGATGTAAATCTGCACACATGCAGCTAGCGTGAGTCACTGTATACACATGGATTCGGCTGTGTTTGCACACATCAACTGGGAGACAGTATGAAATAGGCCAGATTTGCCATTGGCAAACAGATCCACTGCACAAATAGTGGAATGCAATCGATTGCATAGATGCAATGTGGAACCAATTGAGTCTCCTGCTTGTGGATCTCTACATGTCGGCAGGTTGGCAATGGAGTCATCCATGAGCTTTGTAGTGCCCACACAGCCAGTCCTGCAAGCAGTTAACTGAATCATACTCCCCAAGCAATGGAGGGAGGAAAAGGAAATTGCCTAAAAATACAGCTTAAATGCTGTTGAGTACAAATGTGCTTTTCACTTTTGCAAGTGTAAAAAATTGAGTTCTTCAGTGTGAAGCCTTACACTGTGGAAGTGTAAAAACTTTGAACATCTCTCTTCCCTACCAAAAAAAGTGTTCAAAACAATTAATAGTGAGACAATAGTTTGGTGTTTGGTTTTTTTTTTACAAATATTTTTAACAAGAATATTTGATGGATTCAGCCTGAATTGTCAGGAAAAATGTTTTCATATATTTTTCATGTCCATGTACTGTGTTCAGCTCTGGGGGCCCCAGCACAGGAAGGACATGGACCTACACAAGTGGGCCCAGGGGAGGGCCACGAAAATGATCAGGGGGCTGGAGCACCTCCCCTGTGAGGACAGGCTGAGAGAATTGGGGTTGTTTAGCCTAGTGAAGAGAAGGCTCTGGGGAGCAGAGCAGCCTTCCAGTACTTAAAGGGGGAAAAGTACTACAGGAAAGATGGGGAGGGGCTCTTTATCAGTGAGTGTAGTGATAGGACGAGGGGTAATGGTTTTAAACTGAAAGAGGGTAGATTTAGATTAGATATTAGGAAGAAATTCTTTACTGTGAGGGTGGTGAGGCACTGGAACAGGTTGCCCAGAGAAGTTGTGGATGCCCCCTCCCTGGAAGTGTTCAAGGCCAGGTTCGATAAGGCTTTGAGCAACCTGATCTAGTGGAAGGTATTTAAAATTTGATAGGAACGCAAACTAAAAATAAGTATTTATTTCGTCTTTGAATGGTTGCTTGCAAACTGTGTATAATAGATATTTTTTAATTTTAAAGTTATTGAAGTTGAGCCAACCCATGATTCACCTGTCAATAAAGGTAAGCTGGATTCTTATAAGCCCATTAAACAGAAATTTCAACAAGTTTATAGGCATTTATTATTTACAAGTGAAATTGCCTCCAGAAAAGTTTCATTTAAATACCCATTGAACTGTCATAGATGATTTTATTTTAAATCTGTTTAAAAGGAGAGCTCTTCTGTGAAACTGGATGTCTTACTGATTTTTTTTTTTTTTGCTTTACAAATGGTATACTGTAGTACAATATAATGCTCCTTTTAAAAGGAATATAGAAGAGATTGAGCCCAATTTTGCATTGTCCATCTGGAACATGCATCTATTTTAACTGCTATTATGGCTGTTCAGTACTTTTACAGTTCACTCAGGTGGTTTACTTACGGAGATGTTTGTTGTATGCAATAGCAGTCTCTGGCCATTTGTAGTAATAGTTCTGTTTTGTCTTTCACAGCATCAAAAAATGAAGCTGCTGCTTCATCTGCAAATAGTTTAGGTGGAATGATTGTTATACTGATCTTCCTTCTGCTATCAGGAACTGGCCTTACATGCTATTTCTTCTATAAAAAAAGACGTGATCGACAAACAATTACAGCCAGTTTTGACAATGCCATATACTGTGGTGATGCTGACTCTGGAACTCATGAATCAAATTGTCTTGTGACCAATATTGAACAAAATGAGCAGGCAACAGTTTAATAAGCAGGGTAATCTTGGGCCTGATTTTGAAAGGAATTAAAGTGCTGGAATACAAGAATTCTTAAGGCAAAGCAATTTTCTCCCATGGAAATTCTAGTTCATTTTGCACGGGATGCTTCTTGCTTTCTTTACTAGCAGGAACAAGCAATCTTGCAAGGCAGATCCAGAGATCTGCTCACAAACTGTAGTACCTGGGAGGACTGTTGAACATACATGTGGAGCTACACCGTGTAAGTGAACACTCAGGAGGTTCCAGTCTCTGCATGGGTCCAGCATCACCTTTAGGCACAAGAAGAACCATGCTCACCGCAGGCAACTGAGAACGTGAGAACGTGCTCCTTAGCATGCTCCAAAAAGTATATTCAGATCTGCAGGTATCCTGAAAATGCCACCCTGATCTCCAGCACAGACTGGCAGAATTGCACAGGTTGGACGGGACCTCCAAGCTCATCTGGTGAAGGTCCCTGCTCAAAGCAGGACCAGCTCCCTGCCTCAGCCAGGCAGCCTGGTTCTAAGTAAAAGTTCTTCTTAAACAGAACAATTTATCATAAAAGCAAAAATAACAGGAAGGAGGGATGGGATTATTAAATTTCTATACATGAATGAGCATCCACTTTTCCTAGTCTAGCATGTTCTTAAATGGCAGTAACGATTTGTCTTTACCATCTTGTGAAACAGTGTGTCTCATTGCTTCTTTATCCCTGACATTTGAAAGTTTACCCTAATAAACATCTAATGAAAGTGTTGTAATTTAAGACTACTTATGTGCTGTGCTGTACTGCTCTAGCAGTTTCTGAGACAGATTCTTATATATTTGATAGCTCTTGTCACGTCTCCTCTCCATATTTTCTGATAGCAACATTAGTTCTTCCCTTTTTACTTCACTGGCTACGTCTTCTAGGTCTCTAATCCTTTTTGCTGTTCCCTTCTAGACCCTGCTCTGTGGTATGTAGGTCCTTCTTGACAGTACATTGCATCAGTGGATAAGATATTTCAGGTGAGATCCTAACAACACTGAGCAGACCAAAAAGATCAATCCACCATTGTAACACTTGCCATAAAGGATCCTTCTGTCTGAATTGGTTCTACAGGATCTATAGGTTTGGATAGAGAAACGGTTACCAGAAAACAATAGGCCAAAGACAGGAAAGGTGCCTAATGAGAAGTTAGTTTGTGAAAGTTTCCAAGGACTGATAAGCTTTACAGACTAGTAGTCCTGTTGCGTCTGTGAGAACTGAACCAAAAGTTTGCTGGGACTGTACAAGGCTACCAGTGCACGTAAGTGTCAGCAGAGGATTGTATAACTTGGACCACATCCAAGACAGCAGCGGCTGCTATCTGATAATGAAGGGTATGACCCTCTGCGGGACTTTCCAAACATCTCCCGAGAATCCCCTGGAGTGCCAGTATGGCTCTCTGCAACGGAGTATACAGCTGGGATTCGTTTCCAAATATTGCTTCAACCAGGTAGCTGTGAGTGACTGCCTGTGAGTGAACTCTGCGAGTGAAGAAGTGAATGTGTTGTGTGAATAGTTATTTGCTATTTATTATAATAGCTTGATTCTATTAGTAATAACAGCTTAGTGAAAAAAAACTTGTTCTAAGAAATACTGGTTATGATCTGCATTTCCCCCCATCCTTATCCCCTGTCAGTGAAAAGGAATTTACAAGAAACTTTGGTTTGTACATCCCAGTATGATGCTTTTTCTTCTCAAAGTTTGTTTCCTCTCAGGTTTTGGATTCCAAATTCCTCTCCTGCAGCTAGATTTCTGAAGGAAAGCTGTGGCTGCCACTGTATTTCATACCAAATCCTAGCTAATAGACCTGCTCCAAGAATGCTCCTCAGATGAGTCAGATCTAGTACCTAGTTTAAAGACACTGCTTATATGGAGGTATGAAACAGGTGCTCATCGAGGTGCTTGGACACATACCCAGAAACAGATATGGGGGAAATTTAGTGCCAAAATCAAGCTTTTTGCCAGGCCTAGGAACCTTCAAGGTTAAGCTGCTGTAAACAGAGATTTGGGGGACCACAATTTGCCAATTTGTCCAGCTTCCACATGGATTCTGGATTTGGGCTTACGTGCAACATAATAGCATTTATAAAATGCCTCTCCACATAGGCAAGACGTGGAGACCTACTTTCTCAGTTGCTTGCCCTTTCTTTCTTTATATTAGGGTGGTATTTTAGAGAGAATGTCCTGCCTTTTCTCACCATTTTCATTATATCCCTAAATTGTAACTATAACATGGCTGAAAAAGTAATTGATTCTCAATTTGAACTTATTAGAATGTAAGAAGTAGTTACTGCCTTTAGGGAAGGAAAAGCTGTGGAAGAATTCACCATTGTAACTTTCTGTAATGTCAGACGGTGACACAGCCATGGCAGACAGATGTACAAAGAAGAATGGAACATCCTCCTCCTCCTAAAGAATACCAGTTTACAGGGAAACTATTTGCTAATATCGGTACCAGTAACTTGGAACAGAAAAGAAAATATTAGCTGCAGTTCCTTGGCTAAAGCAGGAATCTAAAAAGAAGTTTATGAACTGGAAGTGTTTAATTTTGTCATTTAAGTTTCTGAAACTAGGAGACTGAAAAAGGAAGTGAAGAGTAATCTGGAACAAAATGTAAGAAAGATCTATAAATACAAACAGAATAGATAGATAGTTGTGAAATGAACTTCAGGCCAGATTCCAATGGGCAAGAGCCAGATTTTCCGGGGCCAATAGGAAAGGTTTGAACTGCTCCATAAACGTAAAGTTGTCCTGATGTCACCGTATCCGGACGCAGGAACAGTTAGGGTTCATTTTGTCTCTTTTCATCCGTGTCCTTATCTGACATACCCAGCTTTCTCCCTTCTATGACATTCTGCAAGGCACAACTTTTAATTCACTATCTGTTAAATAATGATATCTAAAAGCATTTTAAGGATATGGTTAGTGGTTCTGGTTCCTCTGAGGAAATATTTGCTCTCATTTCAGGAGAATGCACACAGTGCAACCATTATACTGCCTTTTTATCCAGACTCTTGATCTAGACAGCTAGATGAAATTAATCTCACCTACTTTTAGAACTAGTTGACATAATTCTCCTTTATAGTCAAGAGTTAGGAATATACATGTAGGACTTGCAGTTGTTCCGTGGTCCACCAGAAGAGGTTAATGACGGGACAGAGGTTCTGGAGATAGGAAGAAATAATATTCAGTAATGGGAAGAATAGGGGTTCATGCAGTGAGAAACAAAGACTGAGGTTGGTAAGAGGATGGTACAAAAATACAGTGTGAGGTGTCCAAACAAAAGGAGATCAAAGCGAAAGGCCAAGAATTGGTCCAGAAGTGCTGACCATCCCTGGGAGAGCCAGGCAAGGCTGGGCCGGTCAGCAATCGGTCGGCGAAGCAGAGGTCTGGGAAATGCGGATGCTGCTGGGAGAAGTGCAGGGGCTTCAGGGGATGGTTGGTTCCTGCAGGAGGATAGGACTCCTGGTTATGGGGAAGCAATGGGGGGTGAGCATGCTTTGCATAGGAGAGAGCCAAGAGAAAAAGCCAGCTGAAGTGAACTGTTGCCCCAGGAGCCCAGCTGCGCTGTTCAGACCAGGGAAGAGGGCCCGTGTGTGGATGGGGAGGGAGTGGAGGGTATAAAATATTTGTATGTTTGTTCCTATTTGCACGGGTACTCTGTGTTCTTTGGAAAGGCCACAGCTGGGGATCAGGGAAGAAGACAGGCAGCCTTTCCTCCTTTCCCTGGCTCCTGATGTCTGTCATAGGGCAGAACCATCTAGAAAGATGAGGAGATGGTTTCTTCCTTGAGAGTGGTGAGTGTGCACAGGGTGGGGGGATGCTTTGGAGCATCGTGCTGGAGCGCAGAGGATGGGAAGGAAATCAGGGTTTTCCTAAGAGGAACAGAAAGTGGACTTGTGGGGAAGCCTCTGGGGTGATGGAAGGGAAGGGGTTTCTCCCAGAGAACTACAGAGGAACTGTATGGGCTGTTTTGCAACCCAAGAAGCCACTGAGAGAAAGCTTACAGGCAAGCACTTTCTCTGCAAAGATACTGTGGAAAGTGGAGACATTTGTTTTTAAAAAAACCTGTTAGAGAACAAAGAACACCCCTCTGGTGCCCTGGGACATGTTCAGTTTGAAGAAAAGGTGCCTGTAATTACACCTGCTGGATCTGGCCAGCTTGGGGTCTACTCTTGGGGGGGGTGGAGGGAAGCAAAAAAACCAGGAAGAAAAAAAGGTATATTGGGTGTACGATGCCTGTGATCAGTGCGGGGAGTGAGTGGGATGAATCAGCTGTCAAGAGGCAGGTGGAATAGTAGCGAGGCTTGATTACACATCTCCCATCTGCCCAAAGATTTCTCCTGCACCCCATGTTGCAAGAAGATTGTTTTTTATTACCGGGCAGTGGGAACAGCAGCCTTTTCTCCTGGTGATAGTGCTTTTAATTTCAGAGCTACCACATGGGATGGTGATTGTTGTTCAGCTGCTATGTGAAAGTAAGCTTCTCTTAAAGGCACAGTTTGCTGTGTACTCTGACTTAATGATACATTTAAGACCAAACAAAATTTAGGATCTGTTCAGAGTTAAATCTGTTTACAACAAATTTTTAACAGGAAATGGGAAAGGAGAAATGTGCAATCTCCACACATTGCAAAGATAACAAATGTCTGGGAAAGAAGAGAACATTTCACTTCTTGACTGATTATTTGTCAAAGCAGCTACATTTAGAGCACATAACAGGGAAGCTGTTCATTCTTAGTTGGATTAAAAATGAAAGGGAATTGATTATGCCACTAAAAACTGGTTTCATTATAATTACTTTACTGAAGATGTGAAATTTAATCATTTAAAAACTTAGCATAGTGACACAAAAGAGGGAAGGGATTTTAAATAAATGAGGAAGCTAGAAATAAGATAAAAAGGAAGGAAATCCTTAAATTTTGCATGAAAGCTATTTGCATTCAGCTAAAGAATCACAAGAGACAAGCACGTTCTATGAATTTTGTTCCTTTAACTATTTTCCATTGCTTCTTGTGCGCTTTTATAATTTGACTGAAATTGTACTGAATACTAGAATAATTTCAGTTTCAGAAGTTTAATATTTTATCGTAACTCACTGCAAATATTCATAAGGTGTTTTTTTGCTCAATTATTCATATGGTGTTTGATAGCTCAAACAATTAAAGTGTCATTCAGAGTGAATTTTGTAAACAATTTCTGCCTGTTCTCACACTTAGTGTGTCAACATAGATAAATTTTTCTATGGAAATGTCATCCATGATTGTAGAAATACTCAAAACTCAGCTGGAAAAGGTCCTGAGCAACCTTTGAAACAGTATATAGCTTTGAGGCCCTGCTTTGAGCAAGGGGTTCAATCAAATGACCTCCAGAGGTCTCTTCCAGTGAAAACTATTCTATAATTCTGTGGCCAGTAGTGGTATACAGGATTATGCTTTTAGGATGGTATACAGAATTATGCACTTTTGATGAGCTAAAGCCTGTGCTGTTGGAAAAAGTAAAGAAAGCGAGCAGAAAACGTGGCAGAGGCAGGGAGGAGGCATGGCCAACACCGTAGGAAGCAGCACCGCTCTCCTGGCTGCCTGACTGGTGGCCATATGGGCAGTGCTAGCACCCACGTCAGGCTTAAGCTTTCCACTAGCAGGAGATCAAAGCACAGATGCCACAAGCACCCTCCATCAATGTCATTTTTGTGGTGTCTGATCAGGTGCTACTAGCTTGA